TTATATATATATATATATATATATTACCTTCAACATCTAAATGTCTAATTGCTTTTTTCTGATCTTCCACTTTATTGTCTGTGACAAAATCTTCCTAAGGAAAAAAAAGAGGGAGAGAGAGAAAGAAAACAGATAGTCTGTAAATTGTACATTGATTCTCAGTGGAATAAAAATATTAAACTTAACTAATGAGATTTGGCCTTGCTGGGAGTAAGAATCTTGTCTTTTATTCTGACACTGTAATTATTAACATAAGAAGGAACTTCATTTAGTAATCAGGAGACATCCCAACCACCCAAAATATTAAAATAATTGAAACAGGGCTGGAGAGATGATTTTCTGGCATAACTGAGGAAGACCACAAATGGATTTATTTGAAATCTCTGAGTTTATTCTTAAGAATCATGCTTGCAAATCTAGCAGTACTAACATTTTGTGGCATCCCACAGAACACTTGAAAAGATTTCAAGGCTCTTCAGGGTGCCACACCACCCTTGCTGAGAATCATGACCTTACACACTGCTACCAACAGCTAGATGAGTTTGACTGTCACACATTTCATGCCTCTGGGCAGTTCATCTGCCCGGGTTTTTGCTAAGGTCACTGTCAAATACAATTTCTGCCACAATTTTTAACTATGGCATCATCATTGCTCCACTGTAAGTAGTTCAATCTGGGTTCAAAATTAGAACTAACAATCTCTCAACATTTAGACACCAATCTTACAAATTCTTATGCATATGGATAATTTTACTGATGTGACTAGTTCCAGTACTCATGCATGAGTGCTGGCAAAAATCAAGATCATGGAAAGCAAGAAAATGGAAATGTGGACACAGAAGCACAAAATTTGCGTGTGCTAGAAATACTATGTTAGTTTAGGGCATATGAAAATAATCTATTCACTTCAAATGAATGGGAAGATTTAGGTAGACATAATGTAATGAAATTGGAATGTATCTAGGACATCATAACAACTACCTGCTCCCTACCTTTTCGTCTTGTGAAATGTCCCATGGCATTTTATACCAAAGATCACCTGCATTACCCTGATGCACAGCTTCATGTATTTTAAAAACAGATAGCTCCAGTTTGAGCAGTAAAGTTAAGAAAACAAATGTAAATAAATAGAAATAAGCTTGTCTGGATATATTTGGCAACATAATGCTTTAAATAAAACTCAGTGGACAATATAACTGATCAGTGACCCTTTTCTATAGGCTTCAAATGTTAAAGCATTTTAATTACAAATTGCACTTAGTGTTTGAGCCCTTACATTTGTGTGTCTGTTCCGTTCCCCTGGACCATCTTTGTCCCGTCTTACTGCCTGAAGAGGCACCTTAGTGTCTCCTTGCTTTAATATGGTTTTATCAATATTTTCCATTCGTTCCCTCTCAGTTGTCACTTTAACTTTCAGCATGTGAAATGGAGTTGGCACCTCACCCACATTTAGGTACATGGGTTCCCCCTCAAATATCATTCCTTCACAATCACCTTCTTTAAAACCTGGAGGTTGGTAATCAGGTGGTGTAACTGTAGAAAAGAATGGATGTGATACACTGTTATATGGAAACTAGCCAATTGCCCATCAGGAATGAGGTGGGGGGGGTGGGCGGGGACAAAGTGCTGCCACCCACCACCCTGTGCTGCTGCCGCCACCTCCCAGGAGCAGGAGGTGGGGGGGAAGCCTGCCCTGCCATCCCCCTCAGCCAGCACCCTGTCCTGCCACCACCTCCAGAGAGCAGGGCCAGGGCGGGAGCCAGGCCAGCAGCGCTGGCCTTGGCGCCCTCTCACTCCATCCTCTCCGTCCCCACCATCATGGCGGCGATCCGCCATGCTGCTGCCTCCTGTCCGGAATACTCTTAGAGCACTCTGGCCGTTTCAGTCAGCATTGTGACTGGCTGCCGAGACAACCAAGCAGAGTGCAAATAAAGCATTACAAACAGACAGACAGACAGACAAAGTATTTTATTATATTAGAATGTGCTAGGAAACAGCAGATCAATTCAATCTAGGCTAGAGGAGCCTATAACCCAGGTCTCCTCTCTGGGGAAGTGTCCTAACCACCAGACTATTCGGCTAAAAGATGGCAAGGCCATCCTACTCCCTCCCACCTGACAAACCTTTTCAGGATTCATCCGTGTACCTGGGCAATTCTATTTGGCTGCCAAATGTGGCCCTCCTGAGCATGTTTAGTAGGCTTGCATGTGCCGAGCTGAATCACAAGCTGTGTTTAAGTTATGGCATGTATGCAGCTGGTATGTGCCATTTAGGCACATCAAAATAAATAAAAATGTGAAATCCTGGTTTCACTGAAATCAATAGCAAAACTTTCTTTGACTTCAAAAGGGCCAATAGTTTTTCACTAGAACTTAAAAAATTCAGGACTGCACAAGCAAAAAGACACATGGGGAAAAAAAACCTCACAGTTGTTTAGCCTTAACATTGGTAACAATATATGGAAACAATATCATTACAGTAATCGAAAATGACTGTTTATACAGAAAATAAATAAAAATTATGTGGAAACAGTACCTTCATCATAATAAAAGAGCTTCATTGTCAAGCAGACATCACAAGGTAATGGGCCCAGGTTCTGCATCAGAACGTAAATCTTGCGAATGAGGAGGATGCTTGCTTTCTTGGTGTCTGCACACGTGATGTTGGAGTCATTTCCTTTATTCTTACTAAGGATGAGCAAAGGATTCAGATCTTCTATGGAGATTGCATTGTTTCTAATGTTACACTAATAAAGTTAATTTCTTTTAAGTTTCTCTAAATATGTCAAGGAAGCAAATATCACATTATCATCATACAGGTCTGACTTCAAGAAGCCGTGAGTACATATATGTCCTAAGACAATTGCGTGTTCTCAAAACTTGTTGGGATCACACTTGAAACAAGCAACACCAGGACACCATCATTGTTCAGACAGTAATGAAACCCACTCCTGTACTTTGCAATATACGTGCTGTTTGAAAAAATCTTACCCTCCAAATACCCAAGGAGAAATTGGTACATTTCAAGGTTCCAAACATGCAGAGACATACATCTGAGCTTACCCTCACATGCTGCAAAAAATTAGGGTTGAGAGGCACCTTATAAACTAATTAAATTGGAGATGCATATAGTTTAATGAGCAAGAGCTCACTTCATCAAATGCTGACATAAGCTTTTGCTCAAGAAAGCTTATGCATTTCTGATTCAGTTAATCTATAAGGTGCATCTCTACTTTGCCTTTTACCTAACTTCAGACTAACAAGGCTAACTGCCTCCCTGCAAAAACTGCTATTCACTTCACCTGGCAGTTCTGCAAGTCCTTGCGTATGTAAATCTCTGCAGAATTAGTGTCCAAGCATGTTAAGTGAATGAGCATTTTATGTCTGAGAAGAGGGGGTGGGGGGGTGGAGAAGAGTTCTGTTAATCAAAAATGCAGGAAGTGCTTGTTTATCTGGCCTAAAGTATGCAACTCTTTAAAATCTAAAAAGCATTGTGTTTTTCAACTGTGTGCACCCAAAAACATCTCTGTGGGCACATGCTTCTGTAGAAGAAGTCAGAAGGGGGCAACAAATGGAAGGCCCCATTAAATCTAAATATTTACTAATACTCAGTAATAAGGCTGCTTATAACTCATCTTCATGATAGGTTTGTATGGAGAGTATGTTCCCTTATTAAACTTAAATCTTAAGATTCAACTTCCAGAAATCAGACAACAGATAAGAGAGGGCGCTAAAGTTTTTCACTCGGTTTCCTAAAAAAATACACTGTAAACTGCAAAGCAATAAGGAAAACAGTACCTGGTGAAATCCATGACTGGCCCACTGTTGGTGTACTTGAATTTGAATTGATAACATTCTGTAACTGTCTAAACATAAAACACCGTGATTATGTAAGCAGGAGATAAAGTACCAATTGCTACGTGAAATTACAGGATTGTTCCTGGTTCCCTGTGTCTGGAGTATACCAACCTTTCATGCCTTTTAAATGAAATGTCCATGTCAAACAACAGTCATGATACATCATTGTAATGTGATCTCCAGGGATTACAATTTTCTAATTTCATAATGACCTGTTATGATATTTTTTCTGCCCAATTTATTATATACTTTTTGTAACCATCAAAAGCAATGTCAATAGTCTTTTCTTACAATCTGACATTATTAATTTCATATTTAAAGATGCCGGCATACAGATATGTAACAGTGAGATTTTCTCAAACTTCTTTTTTGAGATTAGTAAAGTGTAATTTAGAAATCTACCCGTCTTCTCTAGGAAATGATAAACAACAGGAGGCCAATACTAGACTGTCCTTTGCTTTAATGAGGTTTGCATTCGTTATGAGTAGATGGTGTCGGACTCCATGTTCAGATAAGAATCAAATATGATTTAACTATTATTTATGGTCTTGCTTATTTTTTATGAGATAAAGAGGAGAATAGATCTTTCCATTTCAATGAAGAAAAACCAATTTGGCTTCTCTCTAATGAGTCACAGCTTGCCCTTTACAAGGAACAAGGATCAACTGGGATTCTTATCTCATGACCTGGAGTAGTTTTCATGACCCCTTTGGAAGTTCCTATGGGTTTGCTGCTCCTTTGCTTTCCTCTTCAAGCACTGGCCCCCTCCCCACTATCTCTCTCTCCCACCTCCTTGTCTTTTGTATTTTAATCTCTCTCTCCTTACACTCTTGCTTTCTGTAGGTCCTTTCACAGCATCTAATAAACTGAACTTGTGTTCATCCTCTCTGTTTTATTTAGTTAGTCTATAAAAGGTGCATTTCTACCCTGCCTTTTGTCCTATACTCACCAGGTGTATCTGCATTGTTGCAGAAAGGGTAAGAGAGAAAATTAAATAGAATGCATACTTTTATTGTACCATTTTAACAAACTCTGTAAATTGTAATTTTATTGCCTGATTCGGTGCATGTTTTTAGCCAAAGTTTTACATAAGTGACTATTACACATTATGATAAAAATGAATATTGAAGTGGAAGGTTTTTCTTTAAACCCCCCCACAAAAAAGACTCCTTATTATATATGCAAAAATGAAGTTTATTTCCTACCTATGGGGAGTTTTTACCATCTTTAGTTTTCCCTGAGCCTGATGAAGGGTGTGTGTGCCCGAAAGCTTGCAGAAAAAGACTTTTTTATTTTTAGGTTTCTCAGTTGGTCTAATAAAAGGTATTAAAACTCTAATCAGAGAGAATCTACTCAGTTGGTCTAATAAAAGGAATGCAAAACTCAAGAGTTCTAGAGTTTTGCATTCCTTATTTTATAACCTCCTTAGCTAGTATCAATGCTAGCTCATCCACATCAAAACAGAGCTCTGGTGACACCCAGTGGCCAGATAAATAAGATTACATTTGACTGGGAAGAATATATGGAATTTGCTGTACAAATTAGGAAGAAATTTCCCTTACAGCAGAATACTCCCTAAGCGTTCACTATGGGATTTGCACCTTCCTCTCCAACATCAGTTGGATGCAAGATACTGGTCTAACTGTTCTGATGAGGTCTGACAATTCCTATATTACCATGTTTCTTTATATAAATAGCAGCATCAACATGCACCAGATGTTAAGTATTGTGATGTTTCTATACATACATTTTATTGTAAATGTACTAGCATCAGTCAAACATCAATATCATATTAAGTTTACCTGAGGATCTTCTGGATGGGTATAGACCTGGATTTTAAAAATAAATCATATAAATATGAGACTACAAATAAATGCATATAAATACGTTTATTTTGAAAGGAAGGTTAAATACTATAAAGGTACTTACTGCTAGGACAATCATTCGTAGCTGTTTAAGATATAATTAAGAAAGTAACAATCAATTAAATATATCCTCCAAGATAATCTTGCTCAAAAACCTATTTTGTTTTTTTGAATCTATAAACTGTTGTAGATTATTGGCTGAAATAAAACAACAGGTGGGATTTAGGGCCCTGATTCCGCTAAGCACTTAAATATGTATTTACTTCCTTTTCTAAGTAGCAAATTATTTATGCACATGCTTAATGTTAAGCAAGTGTATGAGTACAATTGATTTCAAGTACTTTTTCTGCATCAGGATATCAGAATTTTTTTCCAATCTTCTGGTGCCAGATCCTCAGCTAATATAAACTGGACACAAATCTCTAGCATCAAGAATTATGGGCCATTTCCTGTGAGATGCTGAGCATTATAAATCACCATTATTTGTTATACCTTATTAAATTGTTGCTATATTGTAACTAGTAAGCCCCATACCCACAGTGTCAGCTATCGGAATTATACAAATCGGCAATATTTCAGTTTATTAAAATATAACAAAATTATTCAGGAAGACTTACATATTTTTTCTGCAAAGCATCATAGCATCCCAACATCCTGCAAAAATCAAATAATATTTTCTATCTGCTATTAATTATCATTTGTTTGCTTCTGATTAAATAAAATATTCCTTCAAGATGAAATTCTTGCATTTAATGCTTTTTAATATTAAATTACAGAAGTAATAAACAAGGTTTATTCCATTATTTTTGTCCTCTTATTACTAGTAATAGATACAATTAATTATTATGTTTGTAACACCCCAAACATGCCAGACTTTTCAAAGGATGAATAAAAATATAATTAAATTGTACATCTACAATTTTCCAACACTTTCTAACATTTATGTTCATAAGTAATTTAATAAGTTTAACTGTCTATTTCATTTAAGTCTCCACATTTTTGAATGACAAAAATCAAGAAAACTATTGTTTTGGCTTGTTATTTAAAAGTTGAAAATTTATTTTACATCGTGATGAAAATAGGCAAAAAAAGAGATACCAAAATATACACTGAACCACAGTGTATCTGGTATTTGCCATATCCCAATGGCACTTTAGGGGGAAAAAAGTAATAATCAGTCTCGTTGCATTATGTGCACATACATGTTTAGTTATGGAAAGTTTATACAAATACCATATCTCAGCCACAACCGGTAAAGAATAAGGGCTGGATTTTCCATTCACAAGCACTTTGGGCAGTTATTTACACCAGGGGAAAGTGAGCGTACAGCACTCCCCGTTCTTCCTGGACAGCAATTTTCCTGTAGTGCAGAAATTAATAGGCAAGGTGGAAGAAAACAGAAGCAGGCTGCTCAAGGATTAATGAGAAAAGTCAATAACGATTGTTCAGATACATACCTGATACCAGAATCAGTTTGCATGAACTTGTCTTTGCCGGCTTTAAAAGGATGCTTAAGGTCTGGCATAACTTTAAATATGTGAGTTGGCCCACTGACTCGGAACTACTTACATGTTTAGTTGCAAATATACTGACTTTTTACTAAAACTGTAAACTTTTCCATAAATGGATATACACAAGGTAAGACTATTATATGGGACTGAAATGGACAAATCCTGATTTATCCATGAGGAAACAGTAAATACAAAGTATTACAAACGCTTTCTGAGCAGTCATTCATTACTAGTAAACTATTTTTAATAACCAGAGAAAACTAGACAGTCAACTTTCAGACTTTACATATGATAACTTTCTTATATATATATATATATTGTAATTGACATACCATTTCACCAACTGACTAGATCCAGGGCAGGTTTTGTCTTCCCTCAAAATTTTGACACAGAGATCTCAAATAAAGAAAAATGATGTTTTATACAGAAAAAAAGTGCTGTTACAATACAGAACAACCAGGTTAGCTAGAATAAGCTCTTACAATTCTTTGTCATAAATACAGATGATAGAATTTGCATTACTGACATTTTTAGCTGTTGAACATCCACCTGAATTAGCTTTATCTTCACCTACAGAAACAACACTATATAAATATAGACACAAGCAGTATACTCTGTTTATACTCTGTTTAAGTGCATAATATTTTTTCAATCCTGAAGCTGTAGTTTAAATGCAGTATACTGCATGGGGCATGTGTATTACTGCTGTTGTAGAGATGAAGCTGGTAAGTATGCAAATACCCACCCCCTGTGAAAACATCTTTTAATAACAGAAGCTTCCTCTTTTCACCTCAGTAAGGCTCTTTGCTTTCTGTCAGAGCACCTTGGGCCTTGAAATCCACAGGACCTAGTGATTTCAGGGCTACTTTTTAGAAGCCTTGAGAAATGGATGACTCCTAGACAGTTTCATCAATTATGCAGTTAAATGGGATACAGTTACATTACAAAGTAGGCAGTGGGAGCAAGAGCTCTTATGAATTTAAGTGGTTTATGCAATTAACCAATATGCAGATGATGTTTGTTAACAGGCAAAAATTGGGACCAGCATCATGTGATGCAATTAAATCAATGCATCTCATATGCATATACATGAAGTGCAGTTTTATTTTATTTTCATATAGTGTGTGTGTGTGTACTTCAAGAGGAATGCAAATAATGATGAATTATCTGGTAGAGACCAGTAATCAGCGGTTAGTAAATTGGAGGGTGGCACTGCAGACAATTGGAAAAATGGTGAATTAAAAACATAGGGGCAAATTCCTCCTTCCCTTCTGCAATCCCTGGCACTGAAGGGTGATTATCTTCCACGACTGTCTAATCTGCCTGTAGGAAGATGGCTGATGAGGCCAAATTATCCTATATACACGAATTAACCAGGGCTTACTATACACCCACCCACCAGCACTCACTAATACCTTCCACGCACGCGGACATCCACTAGCAACTTTCAAGGATGTGAAAGCACTTTATAAGAATTCATTAAGACTCCCCAATGACCTTGTGAAATACAGCTTTCTTACCATCTAGGTATCTTGTTCCGTAGGCACATTCGGGAAAGATTCCTCTTAGGTAAGTGATGCATGACACTGCCACTGCCAAAAGCCTTTTTACTAATACCAAAGACTGCTGTTCAGTGGATATTTTATTAGGAAATACTACTGCACTCTAAAATTTAGAGAGAGAAAGACAGGAATTAATTTCTAGTATGCAGGATTTTTAATTTTTTTTCTTTTGTTTTTCAGACATAATGGTGAAAGCCAACCAAATGCGTTTTCTTTCACTAGTCAAATACTCCCTGACCAACTTTTTTTTAAATGTGAAAGAAACTAACAGGAAGCGTAAAAAAATACTCTTCATTCTTCTCCTGCTTCCTTCCTTGGACATAATCTCTATTTTATAGTATGTCAAAGGCCCTGATCCAATACAGTTCTAAAATATGTTGATTTTGTACATTTTGACTAAGTTTCATTGACTCCAGTGTGTTTCTTTCTTTCTAGTGTTTATCTGATCCCTGACAAATGTACGTGTCAGGCAATTTAGAATAAATTATACACCTGAATAGCATATTTCTTTATACAAGAATAAATTATTTGAATCTCAACTACTCACGAGTAGAGGGTTTAAAGGTGCATTTTGGGGACATAATGAAACTACAGTAAAATTAATGATGTGGGTCTTGTAACAGTAATAATTTACATCTTTCCTGCTCACGTGCAGGGGTGGGGCTGACTTGATGATCTGTAAGGTCCCTTTCAGCCCCTAACGACTATGAAACTCTTTAAAAAACACATTAAAATAAATGGAAGTATGGCATACCATGGAGCTTCTCTGCATCTGTGCAGTTGCCATTTTGATAGACTTCTATCTGTTAATAAAATATTGATGTCAGTTCACATCCTATTGCACTTTGATGCCCCATATATAGAGCCTATCCATTCACTTTTGACAACACAGTACATGATCCTTAATCCATCTTAATGTGACTACTCTTTATTAATGTAAATAAGCCCATTGATCTCCATGCCATTAGCGGCCCGAGTACTGCTCACATACCAACTTGCTTCACCGTTATATATTAGACTGTGGGAGGTTTTTTTTCAGAGCAGCCAAAACTCAAGAGGCAGATACACATGTGAGAACAGGACAGCTGTTCTCCATCACTCCCCGTCTGGACCATCACCTCCCTCATGCCTGCCTATGGAGGGACCTCATTTGGGACAGAAAAAAATTAAAATGCTTTACGAAATATATTTTTGCCTATAAAAAAACATGGTCAAAAGGAACCGGCCTAAGAAAACCACTGGTTGGGATGCATTGAGTGGAGTGCATTAAGAAGTAAATGCCCAGCTCTGCTAAACCGCAGACTCCTGCAGCGTGTCTCCAACCCGGCCACTTGCTGAAGTAATGCAGCACGATTGGGTTGTCTATTGTTTTTAAAGATTTTGAAGGAGAAGTTAAAAAAAAACAAAAACCCAAACCGATACAAATGTGTTTTCCTACCAGTTGCATCCCTCTTTTGGTGCATAAATTTGCCTATGTCTGTTTTGACCCTGCAAAACACCTTTTCCACAGCTTCCCCTTTGCTTTGTTTGTCAGGCACAACCCCTTCTCTGTGATGTGGAATGAGGAAGCTTTTACATCTTCCGAAGTGCGATTCAATGCAGGCTGAGGGCCGGGGGGAGGGGGAGACGGGACTACATCGCACGCTGGTGTGATGCTGGGGGGGCAGTGTCTTGAGGGAGCAAAGAAGGGGGTCTGAGGGGCACGTGAAAACTGAAGGGACTGCAGGAAATACGGCGCTGAGCGGGAAGGGAAGGCTGAGAGGACTCAGTCGCCTCAGGGCAGCCTCTGCAGCCCCGCCCACCGCCGAGCAGGGCCGTGCGCAAAGCAGTCCCTTCCTCGCCGCCCCAAGCCGGGAGCTTGTTTCCCGCCTTTTTACCTTACGCTGCCCAGAGGGGCCGTGCGCAAAAGGTCGGGCGCCGACGGCTGAACCCCAGCGAGGGGCCGTGTGCATACAGCCCCCACCCCAGCCCAGCTGGCACGGGGGATTTTTGGGGCGATTTTCTCCCACCATTATCTTCTCTCACTTGCCAAGGCATTTCACACATCCTCTTTGCACTGTCGCCCCCCGGGATGTCAGGCACCTCTTGCCCCCTCATGCTGTTGCCTACCCTCCTCCCTGGGGTCATAGACAAAGCGCCTTCATGCTTTCCCCCTCCCCCCAGACTAGGGTCTCCAGCTCTGTTTGAATCTATTCGGGGAGATCACCAGTGTATCTGCGTACATGAGTTGCGCGTGCAGACTTCACATGGGGAAGATAAATGCACATGCCTGTTGCATTTAAAAAATACACTGGGCAACTGTATGAACTGGATTCAACATTTAATATTTATTTTAACAAATGCCCTATCGCTACCTAGGGTTACCGTATTTTCAGGTCCGAAAAGAGGACACCTGGAGGTGGGGGGCAGGGGGTTTAGATGGGGGGGGCAGTGACATGCTGGTGCCCTGCCCCTGCCCATTCTGTTGCCCCTCACTGACAAGCCACCCCCCACCCAGCCCTGCTGCTGCCCCTCGCTCTGGACCCACTGACCCCTGCCAGTGCCCCTCACTCCTGACCTGCAGCCCCTGCTGCTGCCAGTGCCCTGCACACCCAACCCACAGTTGCCCATCCCGTTCCCCCCCCCACGGTAACCCTAAATTTCTCTCCAGGGTGACTCCCAGCAGGCTCCTGGACATGTATATCTCATTCCTGGAGACTCCAGAGCAAACCTGGAGGTTTGGCAGCCTTACCTCCAACTAACACCTCCTCTGGGCTCTTCAGACTTCCCCCTTTTCATCCCGTTGCCTCTCCTCTCATCCAGGGCCATGTGCAACGATTTTCTTCTATCCCCTCAAGCATTAAAGCACTGCTCCCCAAGCCAAATAAAAGTTTTCACTTTCCTCTTTAAGCGTTAGCCCTCACACATCGGGGGCAAGTGCAGCGTGTAGAGCCACCGCCATACCCATATTTTTAGGGCTCATGCCCTGTACTAGCTGTAGACCATAGGAGGATGATCAAACATTTGATCAAATCAGGTATTTCATGCCTTAGGGGGGAATGGTATGGAGAAACTTGGCAGGAGCCCAGAGAGACAACTGTACCATAACGGGAGAGGCAAGGATTTCTTAAGGTGATATCTTTTATTGAACCAACTGTGTATTTGGGATAATGTTGGTCTAATAAAAAGATGCTGCCCTAAAAAATCCTCGCCTCTTGCATAGTTTCTGGACTATCACTGCTACAACGTCACTCTTTCACTGCTATAATGTAAGTGGTCATGTAGGCTGGAAAGCATCGAGAGAGTGCTGTTCCAATTCCCTTTTCATATTTCTACACTAAACTGGATTGCAAAATATATTTATTTTACAACATTTACAGACTAGCAAAATATCATTACTGATTTTTTTAAATTTAGCTTAAAAAATGTCGACAAAGCATCGGCTTATAACTTGCAGTCAACTTAATTCTCATTAATACATGAGCCTCTCATTAGGTAGACATTATTTAGACATTGATCAATACAAGCCAGGACTTATGTGGAAAGTCTGGCAATCAGGCCTTTAAGTAAGTTTTAAGAAAACATTTCATTTAGGACTGTGTAACAATACGTTTGAAAAAGTAAACTGGGGAAAGCATTTTTCAATACAGCTCTTTGGGAGTTATATACTGAGACATTAATTTCCAAGAAAAATGAAGAGGAAAGTAGGGTCTGAGATATCAAGTTTAATGCTTCTGTCTTTTTTCAGGGGAGAGTCCACCTCTTGCATCGGGAGATAACTGGCATCTGACCCTATCCCACAATGATTGCCTGTTTCTTGCCTCCGGCCCAGCTAGTTACCCCAGCTGCCAAAGAGAAATAATAAGCAAAAAAGAGTGTGTTTTAGTTGCTATATTTAGGAATATTTAGAAAATATATTTTAATTAAAGAAAATGATCTCTACCTGTTTTGGATGAGCCTGCATGGCATACTTCTTTCTATACCATATCCAACAAGTACAGCATGGCTTATATTTGAAAAAGTGCATTGTGAATCATAATACAGCACACAGCTCCAGGTTATTTATTTATTTCTATTCTAGCAGTTCCCCACAACTTCAGCCAAGAGCACTGTCCCCTGGACTAGAAGTTACAGCCTAAGCCTAGGGTCTCAATCTTGTTGCATGCAAGTGACTGAATATAATGCACTATGGACAAAAGGGGGGAGGGAGGAAAAAGGTGAAAACGGCAAGGACCGGTGGTTCTGCAGGCTAACTGTATGAGCAGACTAGTCACCTCCTCTAAACACAAAGAAGAAAGCAGAGAGCAGGGGCTTCTACTGGTGCCAGAGGCTGCAGAGCACATCTGGCAGCTGTTTTTCTTCCCAGATGGCTCTTAACTCCTGTACAATCATCAGCTGGGGGAGGGAGGCGGTGTTGCCTGTTGGGGGACACACCTATGTGGGGCAGGGGGCTTCTCTCTGCACAGGCTGGGCCCTGCTCCAGCCCCCTCCCACTCTATCACCAGCCATTCTGGGAGACATCCAGGCCATGGCCCGTGGGTACAACACCCTTGGGGCCCGAGCTTCAGCGGCCGGGAGGCCTGTACATGCTGTTCTTCCCATGCAAAGGGGTCACAGTGCGAAGGGTCCTATTGGTGCCTGCTGAAGGCATACTGTGGATGCTGGGTTGGCCCAAGGACAAGGTTGACACAAGAAAAAAGGGGCAAAAGCAGGCCCTGAGCCTGGAGCCTCCCAGCAGGGGCAGGTGGGCGAGCAGCCGGGACACCTCCCCCATGAAACTGGCTGGGAGGAGAGGACATGATTGCAGGGGGGTGGATGCACTGGTCAGGAGTGAGGGGTCCCTTTGGGTCCTGGTTTTCTCAGAGCGACATCACCTGACCTCGACCCTGATTCCTGCTGCAGCCTGGACACCTCCCCCGTGAAACGGGCTCAGCTTGTTCTGGAGGAGACAACATGATTGCATGGAGGGGTGGATGCACTGGTTGCGGGGGGCCCTTCCGAGCGGGGTCAGAGCAACATCACCTGAGCTCAACCCTGATTCCTGCACAGCCATGTCAGAGGTGGTTCCTGCCTGTTTCATGACAGGGCTTGAATAGCTTCTCTTCCCAGATCCCATCCTAGGCTCAGAGCCAAGTACAAACACTGACAAATTCCACCTCCAAACCCCTGGAGGTGTAGAAGGGAGCAAGCAATAAGTGCCTAAATCTTGGTAAACTCAACCCAACCCAGACATATTTATTCTTCATCTCTCCTGTGCGGCCCAGATCCACCAGGCAGAGGTGACAGGACAGTCTTGTCTTTCAAGTCAGCAGCACTGCTCTTCACTATAGCAAGCAGATTAAAGATTCAAGCCAAAGGTGCGTCATTTAAACCAGTTCCATGTGAAGAGTTCATCTCCAAGCAAACAGCACTTCTATATCTGGGGATAGACGCCGTAGCTGGCAATGCCACAGTGGTTTCCGTGGTTCCTTGACATGCGAATGTAGCCTTTGTCACCGAAGTAGACACCCCAGCTTTTGGAAAGAGAAACAGCAGGATCAGGTAGAAGCAAAATAAACCCTGTTTGTCATAAACATGGTTCCCCAAACACATGTTCCTTATGCGCTTAACAGAGGCTGAATGAACGTCCATTGGTGCAGTCACACGCACACATCACTCCTCTTCATCGGCATGGAAAACATGTCCTTTAGCCACAGATACCCTGGAACCAACTGATCCATTCAGGCTGGATCCAACCTGATTCCCAGATCTCTCTTTCTATATATTCCCTCCATGGCCTCTTTCAGTTATTTTTCAGCTACTTCATCAAATGTGTTTCCCGCTGCCAAGAGAATGCTGGAAAACTGACATGAATAATCCACACCGACCAAAAGACACCGTTGCCTCCTAAAAATAAAAAAAACTAGAGGGCACCTGCTGAAATTTGTAGTTGACAGGTTTAAAACTAACCTTTTTATAAAGCATGTAGTTAACTTATGGAATTCATTGCCAGAGGAAAGGGGTGGAGGCACAGAGCACAGCCAGGTTCAGCAAGGGACTAAAAAAAACTCATGGATGACAGATTTATTAATGGCTATTGAAGAGAATGGTTGGAGATCTTTAGTTTAACCCAATAAATGGTGGTTGCCTATAGCATCCATTGCAACCCATGTTGGATAAATATGCTGAACAGTAGATGGACCACTGGGCTACACGGACCACTGGTCTGCCCCAGTTTGGCACTTCTGTTTTTATGAACAGTCACAGTCAGAGATGGATTATTAATGAGATTAGGAAAAAATGATTCAGTGAGAGGTTCTCATTACCTGTTCTTCACAAGCCAGTAGTCCTGTCCATTGAGTGTGCCATAGCCGACCACAAGGACCGCATGATTCGTCTTCTGGGTGCACCCTGGATCATCATAGACACCTGCAAATAAGGAGTTGGGGGATTTGTGGGAGGAAAAATCCATGAGTGGTTTCTCCCTTATCCAACCCACCCAGTCTGACCAGAAGCACCATTCTCTGCCCCACCACTATGGCCCCTGCCCTAGTCCCTAGCTGCCTCAGAGGCAAGTCTAACCCCCAGGACAGTTCCTGCCCCCCTTGCTGGGGCTGCCAGCTTGCCTGGTGGGATGGGCACCAGAGAAAACTCACTCAGGTCACTCACCCAAGTGCTGTTGGAGAGAAACGACAGCCAAACAGCAAAGCTGAGCCTCAGACTCAGCAGCAAGAGGCTCCACCATCCTCCCAGTCCCACTGCAATATCCTGACTCCTGTAACGTGGGGCACGGATCCTTTCTCTGCTGTGCGCT